TACAGCAGTTTCTTTCTTTCTTTCTTTCTTTCTTTCTTTCTTTCTTTCTTTCTTTCTTTCTTTCTTTCTTTTTTCAAGATGGTAACAGCCCTGACAATATAGACACTTCTATAATTGTTATGTCAACCATTTGAATGCAAAGCTCTTTGTGGGTCACAAATTTTTCATAAATGACTTTTCTATTTAATACAAAGTTTGCTTCAAAACTTTTCGGCATATGATCTTTTCCATAAAACTGTACAGTCCAAGAGACATTTTGATTAACACAATTAATTATACTAGAAGAGTGGGCAAAAGACCATTTTATTTAGCTTACCAACTTAGTAGTAGTGGTATTACCTGCTGTTTTAAAGTTGTTTAATGAAGCGGATCAACTCTGTAATCAGAAGAACCATTGCAAGCCAGAAACACTTCAGTCAAGATGAGCTTCCTGGCCAAATGCCAGTTTGAAATGAATAATGATCCAAGGGCATGCCCATGACTATCAGCCAGGAAGTTCTAATCAACTTGAATTGCCAGCTTCTGGACTTTTCTAATATGGTTTAAATGTCTTTTGACAATACACAATTTGTTTTGATCCAAACATCTGACAGAACAGCAAATGTTTCTAGGTTTATGCAACCCTCTTCTCAACAGTGTTACCCCTTTCTTAATTCTCGCAGCTGGCAGGAAAGTCCAGCTGACCAGCTTATTCTTACAATCAAACTGAAAGTTTGTCAGGGTTTAACCTTGGATTGTAAATAACAGTGACTAACTTTTGTGTAACACTGAGGTTCTATACGTGGAATACCACATTTGAGAAAATAAAGTCTATATACAGGGAAAAGCATGTAGATTTGAACTCAAGCAACTACAGAATGGTTGCTACTGGAATATTTTCTGTTTTAAACATCTTAATGCTGATGATTTGCCTTTTATTTCAAGATTGGTTTTTTCCCCCTTGTATTTTTTTTCTTTAAATTTCACTGTGTGTGTGTTGTAATATTGCTTCCTAAATAACTAGAAGGTCCCATTTGCTGACTTGAAAAACTGTTCAGAATAAACCAGCACTCAATTCTGTACATACCTGGTTTTAAAAGAAAGAAAAAGAAAATAGATGATATATTAATGTGATGCATAGGATTCTCTCAACAAAAAAACTGTGCTTATGTACACGTGAAACAGTCTTTTTCACGAAAACGATGACGGATGAATTCAAAGAACCTTTTGATTACCAGCTGTGCATCATGTTCTTTTCTATTGCTTGGCCTCTTTGTGACAGGAGGAGTGGTATGAAAAACTAAAATGATCTATATGTTGAAATTCATTGCAATATATAAAATGCTTGCTCTCTATTGTACCTGAAAGCATGAGATCTGTGGAAAAAAATACAGCAGTACATTTGGCAATCCATCCCACTAGGGGTTATTATTTCTATATGTTTATCCATCTGTTTTTATGAATTTTTTAAATCTAGACAATAATTGTAAATAAAGAGCTCACTGTCTCTGTTCATTTAATACTATGCAAAAGATTTGTGCTTTTTATTGTTAGTCTACAGTACGATGCTGGAATGTTTGTAGTTTCAAAAACAACACAAAACACAATGACCCAACAACCCAGAAGTAAAATATTTGATATAAGTTATTTTATAGTTTAAAACCATATAATGTTTCTCTTACTGCTTTCGGTCTAATAAATATTTCCTGACAGGAATACAAGTGGAAATTGAAAATAAACCAATCAATAAATTCAGAGGGCAGCATGAAAAATCAAAGTCTGAAAATATCATTATTTCCACTTTCCACTGTGATAGCATATCTTTTGAATATATTTAATATAATTATTTAATATATTTAATACAAAACTATTATAAATGTTTTGACATTATGACACTAACAAAGGGTACTTTTTTTGAATACTGTTTGCTGATCAAAAGAAACTTTCCGTAAAGAAGATGGGGCATTTGGCTGAAAATCAGAAGCTTCTTCCCTAAAGCATTCATTAATAGAAACAACTGATTAAATTGCCACAGTGGACACAGATCCATTTAGTAAACCATCATCTGAGTTTATATAAAGGATCAAATTATATTGGTCATCTGAATTATTTTGCCAAATGATCAGAAGAATTTTTGAGGGCTGAGATAAATTTATTATCTGTACCTATCCTCTGAAATCAATTTCCTATGTTAAAGAAAAAATATTTTTCTTATCAATTGTAACTCCAATGCAACTTTGAGATGCACCAGAGTTTAAACATTTTCTCCTTAATAAATAAAGACCACTGTCAAAACAAGCTTCATTAGGGTAAAAGTTCTCCAAAAATTTTATAATTTCTTCAAGCAGAACTTTCCAGCACATGGCAGAAGTCAAAGATTTTGAGAATGCTTCCGCTAGATTGAAATGTCTATTTTATGTGCACTATATTACAAACAAGGAGATTTAAATAAATTGCTAATGTTTTTCACTATATGGAGGATTCTAGCATTATATATCAAGGATCGATTCATGGAATACATACAACTGATTTGAAGGTTCTTTATTTTCTACCTGGGGATCCATGTGTCTTAAAATGTGGCTCTGTCTATCAATCATCACTTCTACTGGCCTTATTAAACAATAGCTTGATTCAATATAAGCTAGCCAAGCTCCAGATTTTCATAAGGACATTTCTGAGGCAAGTCCTCAAAAATACTTTCTACATAATGATTTCATCAAGTTCTTATGATCTTGTCTTTAATTTTATCACTGATTATGAAAGATAGGATCTCCTAATTCTTCTCTGTCTTTAGTCTTGAGAAGAACATCTGAGTTTGACAGAGGATTAACATTATTTTAAGGTCTGGCATACAAATTGCCATGTGATTATGTGAACAGCAAGTAGATAGGGATAGTATTTTGACTCTTGTCATAAGACCAGTTGGTGCACTTCAAGGTAAGCAGGCTGATTACCTTTCACTCAAAGAGCAGGAAGCCAACAACTGATTCAATTCAAGTGTGGGAATTAAAGTTCCTATCTGCTATGATGGCCATGAAGTTACAAGGGCTTGCTTAACATTCCTCCCTTTTGTAAGTTTGGTTTGGTTTGATTGTTCCTTGCTTTGATCATTATTAGTTTACTGCATGGAGGTTTAAGATTATTAAGTATAATCTTCCTTTGTCTTTTGCAGTCAGTCACAGCTTGGGCTCAATGTGGGAGTCTTGGACATTGACTTTATAATTAGGCATTCTAATGAACAGCTGTAATTAGATCATGGGATAGTATCAAGGTAATTACCTGTCTGTATATGAACTTTCTGTGCATTTTCACCTCCACAAAAAGTCTTTTCTATTTATGCACATGTAAGGCTCTTGTCCCATCCCACAAAAGGATTGTGCAAACTGATACATA